CATCCAACCTGCAAACCCCCTTTCCCAGATGGGTCCTGAGAAGAGGGGATCTGCCCATCCCCAGAGCTGCTACCACCCCCCTGCTGCTGTCCCCAGGCCAGAGGCAGCAGAGGCAGTGCCCCAGGGCGGGTGGCCGGACCCCTGCCCCTCACCAGCCCACCACCTACACCTGGATGTACCACCGGCCCCCTCCCATCCACCTCCACTCCCGCCCCAGCAGGCACAGCCAGGTGAGAGCCCGTGGTGGGGTCCTGTGGGGGCTGGCAGGGTGAGCTGCTGCTGCTGCAGCCCGGCCCCATCAGCAGAGTGGGGTCTGGGAGGGAGCTGGGCCCCAACAGGGTGGGAGGGCTTGTCTGGTGCCATGGGTTGCCCTTTGGGCCTCTGCTTCTCAGGGTCCAAGGCTGGCTGGTCTGACCTAGCACTGATCCCTGCTTTGAAGAGCAGCACAGCTGTCCCCAGTCCTTCCCCTGTCCCCAGTCCCTCCCCTTTCCAGCTCCCAGACTGATGGGGTACTTGCTGCCCACACTGTACCATCGTGGAGGACCATGTTGCACCATGTTGCCTCACAGTGGTGGTTGCTGTTGTCCGCCTGTGATGAAAGATGTGAGCAGATGAACCAGCCTGGTTGTGTTTTAGGTGCCCTGAAAGCCATGGACCCTCTCTGCACGTCTGGCCCCAGCAAAGTAGAAGAGCCTGGCCCACACCGATCTCTCCAGGAGCCAGATCCATGTTCTGGCCATGCTTGGAATGTCCCACTTCCTCAGAGGAGCAGTTTGGTACGTGGTCAGGGTCAGCTCAGCTCCCACGTCTGCCAGTATTTATCCCCTTTGGTTTTGACCTGAGCTGCTGCTGGCCCTAGCAACTTCTCCTTCCAGCATTTCTGTGATTCCCTGGCATTGACATCTCCCTGCTAAGTGCTGGGAACACTACCCCTGCCGTGTTCGTGATTTAAGGTTGTCAGGTCAGGGAGTGCAGTTTTAGACATGGACAAGAGTGCAGTGTCCACACTGGCCCTGCCCCTCTGGGCTGCAGGGGACACCTTTCTCCCTGATGATACTGCAGAGGCAGAGCCCTTTCATTAGGGACACCTTGCTTGGGTTGCTTGGTCTTAGAGTTGTGGTGACACAAGTCAGCACCACTGTCTCCTCACACAGACCTGTCCTGAGAGAATGGGGACCCCATTCCCTGCACAGGCACGTGCCACAGTCCTGGGGCAGAGGAGCAGCTGCCTCTGGAAGGATGTTCCAGCAGAAGGAGCCCCTGTCCCACCCAAACTCCCAGCAGATGATCTGCTACCTCTGCACTCTCTGCACAGGAAATCTCCCAGTCTCTCATCCTTGCTCTTCACACCTTTGTCAGGGCCTTTAGGATCGGGACAGTGGCACCATTTTAGTTGTGTCTGACGATGTTCTCTCCCTGCAGAACCGACGGCTGCTCCGCAGGGTTCGCGCTCTCTACGACTGTGACGCTGACAGGGAGGATGAGCTGACTTTCCACACAGGAGAGGTCATTGTGGTGTCTGAAAAGGAGGACAGCAACTGGTGGGTGAGTGAACCTGTGCATGTAGCTGGCACTTGGATGCACATGGTCCCCTCTCCAGACATTTCCCACCTTAATGTTGCACACATTGTCATCTCCTGCTGTGCATCTGTCTCTCCATCTTTTCCCTGGTAATCAAAGGAAGCTGTTATGGGCCCAGTTCCTCATGCCCCTGAATGCCCCTGTGTTGTGCTCACTACTCCTTTTCCTTCCTGTCTCCCCACAGAAAGGGTGGATTGAAGGGCAGCCCCACAGGGAAGGTGCCTTCCCTGCGTCATTTGTTCACGTTCTCAGCGAGTAGGAGCTGCTTCAATTCAAGAAAGAAGATCTGATCAACTGCTTAAAATGCAATTCTCCAAGCTACCATCTGCACTCACTTCTGCTACCCCAGCACTCGTCCTCCAGCCCACCCCTCCTCTGGGCTGTCTCGGAGAACCTCTCAGCCAGCCCAAAGACAAGAACACAGCAGCCCACGGGCTCCACAGTGGTGCTCCTGCCTCAGCCACGGCCCCATGCACAGACCAGCCCTGGTGTGCTCTGCTGCCCCATGCCTGGGCCCTGCCTTGCCTTGTCCATGCTGCTGTCCTGTGGTCTCCCTGCTCTGCTCCCTGGAGCTCCCTGCTCTGCCAGTGCTGATGGAAGTGACGGCTGTGGGGGGCAGTGCTGTGCCCTGCCAGGCTCGGGAGCTGCAGTGGGCTGGACCTTGGGAATGCAAACAAGTGCTGTGAAGCCAGCATCACAGAGCCAGTGCTGCCCCTAATTCCTCCCACCCCTGTTTCACTCTGTGTGTGATCCAGAAAATGTGCTCTGTGGCAGCTCAGGGCACTGCCCCTCCAGTGCCTGGCTCCCCAGAAGTGGTGCAGAGGCCCTTTGAGCCTGTCACCAGTAAATACTGACTTTTTGTATTTTGCAGGGCTGCTCTAGTTTGAATTTCTAGATCCTTTGTCTTTGCACCAAACCTCAGACGCCAAACCTTGCAAAGCAGAGTGTTGACCTCCCCTTGGATAAAATTACTCACAGTTCAGCTGGCACTGCTTTTCCACTGACTGTGTTTTTCTAGTTGCCAAGGTGCATTTCACAGTCCTTCTCTGTCCTCTCTGAGCCAAAATCCCATTCAGATGAGCAAAAGAAACCTGGTGAGGTGCTGGATGCACGAGGCTGTTGAGAGCTCCATGTTGCTCATGTCAGTGAGCCATCCCAGCAGGACACACAGGGGCAGGAGGGCAGTTCCACTCAAAGCAGGTTCTCCCACCTTCAGAGGAACTTTTTGATCATTAATTTCCTGATTTGGCCCTGGGAACATGGCCAGGGCATCCAGCCCCAGTGGGACCAGCAGCTGCCACGGTGCAGGGCTGTGTGGAGGGGCCGTGCCAGGATGCCAGTGGCAGGTACTGCTGGAGAAGGGACAGCAGCCCTGACCTCACTGTGCCACTCGCTGTTCTCCCCCACGTCATGGTGCAACACTTCCTCTTCCCGTGGCTGTTGTTGCTCTTGCAACAAGCCCTGCAGAGGCCCCCGAGCCCGGAAGCATCACCTGCTCAGCAGCACTTCCCCCAAGAAGGTGAGGGGTCCTGGGGACTGGCTGGGAACCAAGAGGTCACAACACCAGGAGAGGCTCTTTCCCTGTTTTGGGACTGTGGAGCTCCTGGCAGTGTTTCTTGGGGCTGAGTGGGAACAGACAGGTCTGTGGGCACCGAGTGCAGCCCAGTGCAGGGGCCACATGGCTGAGGTGTGGTGGCTTGTGGCCAGTGTCTCTGGGCTGGGGAACCCCAAGGCCAGGGCACCTCTGGACACAGGGACAGTGGAGTCATTTGAGCTGCCGTGGTGGTGTGGGTGCAGGTGGAGGGGTCCCATCCGTGGAGCAGGGGCTGCACAGGGGCAAGGGCGGGGAGATGAGGCCACTCAACTCTGCCTGTCCAGACCCTGCCTGCCCCAGCCACAGGTGACTGCAACAAACTGCATGAAATATTCCCTGGGCTCGGTCCCTTGGTTCTAGTCTTGTTGAAGCTGCTGGTGCTGGTCATGCAGCCCCCTGCCCACTCCCACCCCTCCAGGAGCTGTGGCTTGAAAATCCCTGAGGCTCCACAAGTGCCTGAACCAGCCCAGGGACTGCTGGTACCTGGCCTGACCAGTACATCAGATGGATGCTCTTTGCCTCCACCATGGCAAATGCTCGTGGCTGTTTGCAGGAGGGCAAAAGAGTAAGTCAAAAGGACCTGTGACTGCCAGTGGGGAGGATGCCAGGGCTGTTGGGGTTCCCCTGAGCCTGAGGGGAGAACAGTTGGCATTTCACAGCAGCTTCCTGCTTGAGAGAACCCACATCTGGGTTTCCGGAGTGCTGGTGATGACTTGTTTGTGCTTTCCCTTTCAATATGAGGTGACAGTTTAGTGTCTTTTGGGAAGGACAAAGGGAGCACAACCTGCTGCAACCACCTGGGATGGTGCAAATTCCCCCATCTTGTTCCCTCTCTACTGGTTGCCTGGATCTCCCAGGGCAGCAGTTTTGCTGTCTAGGGCATGTCCTTGGGGTCAGATTCGAGTGCAGCAGCTTGGGCACCACAGTGAGCAGGGACATCTGTGCTGCAGGAGCTGCAGAAAATGGTTCATGTGGAGAAGTGGAACCAGTGCTGACACGTGGCCCCACCCAGGCAACTGGGGGAGGCACAGGGTGCTCCAGTGAGGACAGGAGGAGTTTTCTTTCCTTCAGTTTTCCCAGTACACAGGGGACACCTTCATAAACCTGCTGTATTCTGTTCTCGCCCTGAGATGAAGCCTGTGCCTGTAGCTCCGCTCTTCACTCCTGCCTCAGCCCAAGGAGCAGAGTCCTAAGTCATTGAGCACTTCATGAACTCCCTGAGGACAAGAAAACCCTTTCCCCTCTGACTTTACATTTACATGAGTGCTTTACATAGAGACCAGAAATGTTCTTCCTGGCAATGCTTCAGTGCCCTTTGAGCTGCAGCACCCCAGGGCTGCTCAGGTGGGAGCTGCACTGTGCCCGTGGGTGCTCAGCTGGGGCAGAGCCCCTGGGGCTCCTCTTCTGGTGGGGAGGTGTATGGTGGGGAGGGGCCCCACTGCCAGCACCCGACACACGTGGCGGGGAATGGGCACCGCTCCGACGGCAAGGGGGGTTTGGCTCGTGGCCAGGGTGATCATGCTTTGGAGCTTGTTCGCAGGTCAGCTTGCAGACCCTAAAAATGTTGCAGGCAGAGAGCAGCCCCTCATACAGCACATGCTGCCAGCCAGCCCTGCCCAGCCCTAGGTTGGTGGCAGTGGCAGCAGCAGAGCACAGCAAAAATGCCTTTGAACAGCTTGAAAAGGAAACGAAAACCAGGCTATTTCAGGTCCCCCAGCAGTGAGCAGCCAAGGGGTGTCCCAAGAGGGTTGGGCAGGGAGGGTGGGTGAGAAGGGCTCCTGTGGTGCCCCTGCCAATGGTCTCTGTGACATCTCACTGCAGGTGGCACGCAGGATGCTGAACCAGAGGCGCACAAAGGTGGTGCTGGCCCTGTGCCTGCTGCTGGCCCTGTGGCAATGTTTCCGAGCCCTCATGGATGACTTTGGCCCTGTCCCTTGGGCCCCCTCCCTCCTGCACACCCCTGGTGTCCCCTGCCCCGCCAGAGCCAACAGCTCCATGTGGTTCAACGAGCGCTACGAGGCGGCCGCAGGGCCCCTGCTGACGGGGGCAGCCCAGGAGCTCTCTGCAGACGTGGTTCAGTGGTGGCTGGTGAGTGGACAGTGGGCAGGAGCGTGTGGCTCTTCCCAGGTTCCCTGAATGTGTTTTGCAGCGGGGCAGGACCAAGAACAGATGTGATTGGGATGAAGTGTGTGCAGAGATCCCAGCTCAGCATTTCCTCCCCCTTACCCCCCACTGTCCCCTGTGCTGTCCTGTACCCTTTTCCTAATATCCCATCTGTTTTTTCCATGCTTTCCCAGGGCTCTGCTAGGAGGAGAGGGGCTCTGTCTCTCTCTGGGTTACTGGTGGGGGGCTAATGCTGCATGTCACTGTGCTTGTTCCCTTAGACCCTGCAGGGTCCCATGAATGGTGTCCAGCTCCAGGCCATAATTCGGCAACTCTTCAGCGTCCTCCGAGCCCCGACGGGTGACGTGTTGGACCCCCCTCGCTGCAGGACTTGTGCGGTGGTGGGGAACTCAGGGCGGCTGAAGGGGTCCAGCCAGGGGCTGCTAATTGATGCTCATGATTGGGTGCTGAGGTGGGTGACCTGAAGAGACTTGGTCTCTCCCTGTCTTCCCAGGACCCTGGCATGCCCCAGCCATGCTGTTGAAAACACAAACCCTGTGATGGGGGTGACTGCCAACCCCGCTCCCTTGAGCCCTCTATTCTGGGGCACACACTGGTTCTGTGTCACCCACGCCCACTCTTTGCTGCTGGCCAGGGTGACCTGCTGTCCATGCCTGGTGGGACCAGGAACCTGGGACCAGCACGGCATGCACCTTCATTTTGGGACACCATCCTGCTGTCCTTTAGGATGAACAGAGCAAAGGTTGCTGGCTTCGAGCTGGATGTTGGCACAAGAACAACCCATCACTTCATGTACCCAGAGAGTGCAGTGAACCTTGGGCCTGGCGTCCACCTCGTCCTTGTCCCCTTCAAGCCCCTGGACCTGCAGTGGGTGACCAGTGCCTTCTCCACTGGAGAGGTCACACGGTGTGTCAGCTTTGGGGGATGGTATCTCTTGTGCTGGAGACCCTCTGGATGGGACAGTGTGGTCTGGGAGCCCTGGTGCCTCACTGGAGGCCTGGCACCACAGTCCTGGTGGGACGAAGCGTGCTGGATGCATGTCTTAGCATCCCTCTGCACTTCAGTTTGGGGTAGTGGACACTGAGCTGTCCCCGCAGGGCTCAGACAGCCTGCAGTCCCATATCCCCGTAAGAGGGAGGGGGCTGTCCCCACTGTGGGGCCATGGGGTTGATGTGTCTCTTCCTAGAGCCAGGTCAGGCAATGCTGCTGGGTCAGCTGAAGGGGCTGGGGGTGCCACGGGGCTGGGTGCTGGTGGACACAGACACCCCTGGGAACAAAGGGGCAGCCCCAGCAGTGGCAGTGCCACATGCTCATCACTTGCTTCTGCTTTTGCAGCACGTATGTGAGAGTCAAACAGTTCATCAAAGCTGACAGAAACAAGGTAAGGGCTCCGTGGGCTCCAGCTCCCTGGGGCAGGCAGGGCTCTACTGGGCAGGGCTAATGGTGCTCTGCTTGGGGCTGCTGGGCTGTCCCACTCCAGCATGAGAGCAGCTGATGGCTCCTCCACTCCCCACTCAGGTGCTGATCCTGAGCCCAGCATTCCTCAAGTACATCCATGACAAGTGGACGCAGCATCACGGGCGCTACCCCTCCACCGGCTTCACGGCCCTGCTCTTCGCCCTGCACACCTGCCAGCAGGTGAGCACAGCCCGGGCCCCGGGGCCGTGCCCGCATCGCCCCTGCTCTGCCCGTCCGTGGGCTCCCGGCGTGCCCCAGCGCCCGCACAGCCACGGCTCTTCCTGCCATGTGCACAGGTCTCCGTGTTTGGCTTCGGAGCAGACAGTGAAGGGAACTGGCACCACTACTGGGAGGAAAACCACGGGGCCGGAGCCTTTCGCAGGACGAGGGTCCACGATGCCGACGTCGAATTCAGCATTATTGAGAGACTGGCAGATGAAGGCAGGATTTTATTCTACAAATGAGGCATTTCCAAGAAACTGAAGCCAGGCTGTTGGGACAGGAACAGGTAGCCCCTGTATTGCCAGCAGCTGCAATACTTGCTGCTCCACTCCACCCAACCTGGGCTCACAGACCCTGCAATCCCCAGGGCCTTGGTGCTACTTGTGCTGGTCCCACCAGCTGGGCACTGTGGGTGCCATTCTCCTGTGGCACCAGGGATGTTGCGTTTAGCTGGACACAGAGTGGGCACGGCTCTGCCCGTGCTGGCTGGGAGGGAGGAAGGGGAGCTGGTGGTGCTGGAGGTGGGCACGGAGCCCAGGAGCTGCTGTGCCGGTGCCGGTGGCTGCGATGCCGTTGGGTGCCGGGGTGGACAGCAGCCACTCCAGCGTGGCTGTCTGCACGACAGAGCTGACACTTCCACCCACACACGGCTCCCGGGGGAGGTCTGTAGTTGTTCCTTAGACAGGGTGAGGGGGGTATCTCCCCTTCCTGTCTTTTTATAACTAAGGAAATAATTTTTACATTGTATCAAAGAAGAAGGGAAAAAATCAAACATGCTCACAGAGACAATGGAATCAAACACAGTTGAAGTGATCTTACGTCGAATAAACTTTGAAAACACATGTGAATCTGTTATCTGCTTTACTTTTATCTGTTATCTTAACATTTTATCTGTTATTTGCTTTACTTTTTGACCCCTTACAACTTTGAAAAGGGCACAGTTTCAGCCCCACCCGTGGAACAAGACTGCAGACTCTGGGGAGTGTCCCAAAGGAGGTTTCTCTCCTCCGGAGCAGGGTTAGCAGGATGTCTTTTATCACTTTCAATCACAAACATCCTTGATCCAGCTTTACCACGGCTATTAGTCACTCGGGCTTTCAGTCTATTAAAATCACCAAAACTCTTGTACTCATATCCTTCCAACTGATAGCAGAAGCCTGTAATATTTACCTACCAGTGTCATTGATTTTCTGCCTCTCCAGGTAGAATCTCCATTTCTGCATCTTCAATTTCTCTTCTCAACTCTTCCCAGTTTCCCTTTCTGAGTCTGAGTCTTGCACCTTCCCTTGATTTTCTCTAGGTGCTCAGCAGTGCCCTGGGCAATGTTCTCCAATGCTTTTCTAAAATTTACAAGCAATTGGCTTTCTTATCAAGGACAAGCCAGTAGCTGATAACTGCTTCACTGGGGGTTAAACTCCTGCTGCATTATTTCCATTTATCTTCCTCCCTCCTGACTATTCTTACAAATTTAGTTACAAAGCTGAGTGCTCTGGTAAGCCACTGAAGCTGTTCAGTTCACTTTTTGTTCCCTTCTTCACACTGCAGTAGTACTGTATGATCCCAACCCAATGGATTCATTAAATATCCTTGTAAAAAAACTACATTTAAAACAAACCTCTTTTTCAGTATTGTAGCTTGGAGATTAGTGAGTCTCCTTACACACACTTCAAATTGCTTCTCTCCCTGGTTGACAAAACCAGTTTTTTATACTCTCTGGTTTATAGATAAGTTCAAGTAATTAAAAGAACCAACCAACCAAACCTACTTTCAAATGAATTATAAACCAGCTTTCTCTCTGCAGTATCTGATCCTGTGCCTGTCATGCTCTATGTGCACTGCTGGACCAATTGCTTGGACCAAGATTAGAGTCAATACGAAAGCAAATCCAGAGCTGAGATTTAAGTGTAAGCAGTCTGGTTTACCTCAAAATAAGGCAAGAACCCCCTCCAAATTTTCCTCATTATTTTCAAATTTCTCCCAATATAGTTGCACATACCAAGCACTTTACTCACTTGTGTAGATTATTTAAAAGTAAAAAGCCCCATTATCATCACGATCTCTACCTATTTTGCCACAATGCAGGTGTGTCTGTTAATTCTAATTTCCAATTCAGTACCAGGATTAGTTCAAATAATTTAATTATTCCTCCAAATGCTTTACCAAAACAAAGAGAGGACGGACGTCATTTCAAAATATACACCAAGAGGAAGTGAAAAAAACCAATCCAATTTAAAAATCCATTAAAATTCCAAAGACTTTTTTTTTTCCTGAAACATGAACTTGCATCTTTCATAAGAAAAGCAAGTGGGAGCCCCCCAGTACAGAAAGCACATCCCAAGTGCTTGGGCTCCCCACACAGCCAGACTGGGATGGGATTCAGCACTTTTTCACAGAGGTCTGGCACACAGCAGCAGCACACTCAGAAACATTTGTAAGAAAAATTAAAAAGCCCAGATGGTGTTGCTAGAAAGCTTGTTTGATGGCAGCTTCAATCCATTACAGGTCTCCCAACAATAAAGTACATTATTCCTGGAGGCAAACAGAATGCACCATCTCCAGCATCTCTGTCAGGAAGGGGGGCAGAACTGGATGAACATGGACTGACACAGAAGGGGTTTTACAGTAGGGTGTGTACAGCCAGATACAATGGCTAATCTTTAGAGCAGCGAGGTTCAAGCCTTCCATCCACAAATTAATGCCAAGGAATGAGGGGACAGTAATACAAGAGTGGTTGGTGTCATCAGGAAGTTCCAAACCTTTTCTCCTGTGCACTCAGAATATCACTTGTGTTTAAAAAAAACCTTTTTAGTTCTTCTCAAGAGTTTTTTTTTTGGGGGGGCACGAGGTCATTGCTTATTTATGTTGTCTTCCCAAGTTCAATTTTCTTCTGGATGGCACGTGCTGAGTGATAGATCAAGGAGTCAATGAAACCTGCAACTAAAGGGAAAAAACAAATGGGTCAAGCCAGACATGCCTCAAAGAGAGAACAACTCCCAAGGAAAGAAAACACGTCTCCCATTTCTTGCTCATTTCGCAGTATCCTTAAAAGTAAACTACTCTATCAGATGCTACCCTCAATGGCTGCTCTTTATCAGAAACTGCAATGCACACCCACCCAGGACACAAAGCAAACCAAACCACTGCCTTTAGTGCTCTCTGCAGTATTTCCCCCAAATCTCCCCAGTCCTGAAGAAGCCTATTAATTCAGTGCTTGTTTGGCACCACAGAAAAAACTCAGAATGGGTCTACTGCACCACAAATCCCCGACAATCCCGCTTCAATCCACCATTTCACAGGACAGGAACCCCGAGCTCCTGCCTTGGAGCGAACACAGGGTGCCAGGGAGCCTTTTTTTCAATGCTTTTATGAAGCTGCATGTTCTTTTTTCTTTTATTCAACACCTCAATACAAGGAATAAGTAAGTGATTAGTTGGCCCTGCACAAAGACACAAACACATGGAGCTGAGCAGATACTGATTAGCTACTCCAGAAGCCAGCACTGAGAATGAAGTGCAGACATTGAGATGGCTCTGCAGGAACAGCCTCTCCTCACAGGACACTGTCCAGTCCCAACAGAGCACTCACTGGAGCTCCTATGTCTGGGAGCACAGTTTGAAACCTCTGGGATGATTACAACCCATGGCAACCTGGGTTCACAGATTTTACTGGCTTTGGTTCCGCCTGAATCCAACTGTCTGCTTACAGACCCGAGCTGGCCAAGAAAACAGCACAGATGCCTTCACATAGTATGTGAAAACCAGCTTTGTTTGAGAGCAAAATGTTCTGTAGAGCATCAAAATGAAATATTATGACAGGTCTAATGAAATGAAATAGTATAATAGATCTACATCATCTACAGCATCTTGTAAGTCTGCAGTGCTAATTACAGTCTGATGCCACTCCTGTGGCTCTGCAGAACGTGCTATATCCCCTCCTGAAGGCTGAAATCATCTCTCCTCATCAAACAGGAATTTATTACCAGCCATTCTGACTTTAGAAAGAGTAAGATAGCAAATGTTTACACTTTAGAAAGAAAAAAGATTGAAAGGCGCAATACCTGTAAATATGCCTCCCACAATGGCACAAACTCCAGTGAGAAAGTGAGTAAAGGACCTATAATTTGAACAATCAGCATGAGCTCAGGTAAGGAACAATTCACTAACAAAAACTAATTCATAATTATCATAATGTTCATCATACCACATAAGTATGCATTATCTAAATACTCATAGCTGAAAATTCATAGATTTAAGAATTAATATTGGCTACAGAACAGAGTTTGTCACTGATACTTTTACTGAGCATCACTGAATAGCATGAAGAGCAAGTACTGAATTTATAAACCTAAAGGATGGACTTTTAATCCCCAAGACATTATCCATTCCTACCCAGAGAGAATGCACAGCAGGCTGCTGTAACATAAAAACTAAATCCCTAACTACATGTTAATACATTTTAAGGTATAGACATTGTCTGTCCCCCATTATGAACCTCAAATACCAGAGAGCTACAACTCCCCTGCAGTTACACGCCAGTGATTAACCCAGAGAGAAGGAAGAGGTTCCACACTGGCTGCAAGATGCAGAGTAAGGAACCCGTTGGACCAGCGTGGGTGCTGCTGGAGGTGCTGGTAAGATGGGTATGCTCTGTAAATCTAGCCCTCCCACTAAAAATTAGCCTGAACCAAGAATCATTACATCAGACTTCTGCTCCCTGCACCAGTTTTCTTTTCCATCTTGATGCTGGATTAAAATGCTTCATGTAATAACAGAAAAAACCCCAATCCCTTATGGATGCTCACATGGAGAAGAAGGGCCTCAGGGAGCACCTCTTCCTCTCCACTGCCTGGGAAGGGGCTCGGAAGGTTTTCGGGCATTTGCACTCTTCTAAGTGAGGATGAAGTTTTAAGCTATGCAAAATGACCAAATCAATGAAGGGTGAATGAACTAGACTGAAATGTCCCTTACCTGTGTTTCTCAGTCAGCTTCACCATCATGGGTGACAGTTCATACAGCACAAACACACCAGGTAGACCCTGGTCTCCCAGCAGCCCGTTTGCTATTTTCTCATGTCGTGTGACTGAGAACTGGTTGGTCCTTACCACCTACAAAACACAGGAAACAAACACAGCATTTTTCTGTTAACAGGGAACAGCAGAGGCAATTAAAATGTGAGTCCAGTGAACCACCTCAGTGCAGCCCTGCCCACCCACTCGTGGGCGGCCTGACAGCGGTTACAAGGAGTCAGAAAGAGCTTTATCACAATCGGGTCTATTTTTACTACAGGCTACCAGTTAAAGCCCCAACTAGCCCGAAGTATGAGGGATGCATCAGTCCCCAGGCTGGACTGTTTGGTCCCTGCTGGCAAGTAATGGCATAAGCTGTCCCTCTCAACCCCAAGTCCATGTCATCCTCTCCCAACATGCAGTCCAGCTAAGCATGCTACAGGAGACAGCAGTGCTGGCAGAAAGCTGTAGTTATTCAAGAGTGAGACAAAAGGAAATAATACATAAAGGCAGGAGAGTGCCAGGACTACAGGACACAGATTGCCCATCTTCACATGAATGAAGATCAACCTTCAGCATTCTTCTGTGCCCTGCCAATCTTCTACATGTTGTTCACACCAGTCCTATTCTTACAGCAAAAAACTTGTGTTTCTGTAAAATAAAATTATGTTTCAATATCCCTAATAAGCTATCTGACACAAATTATGATCCCAGCTGAGAAAGATACTATCCCAGTTTCTTTACCAAATTCCACGTTTGGGCGTCCCAAGTACTGAATGTACAACACAG